GCAGCCAAACATTCCTGTTGTCCTTGGAGCACTTTCCCTTCTCCTTACTGAGGGACAGGGTACTAACCTTGAGCCAGAAGGAAAGCTGGGTTTCACACATTCCCATATCTGCAATACTGGACACCATCGCTTGCTCCTTAACCCCTAAGTACATCTCTTGAGCTCTGTGCTGCTGCTTTGTTTTCTCACTGGAGAGTACTCGCACGTCCACGTCTGAGGCACTCTGAGGATAGGGTGAGTCTTTCTTCCACCAGTTGAATGCAACAATTCTTACAGGTCTGATCAACGTTTTCCTTGCTTCAGTGTAAGGGGAATGTAAAGGGAGCAAGGTACAGGCTTCATGGCTAATCTTACTAATACCTGCATTGGAGACTTGGGAGCTGAGAGAGATTCAATGTCTGTTTATTTCAAGTGAATGTATTTTGAGTCAAAAAAATGATAGAATAGTGGCCGTAATGGGCCTGAAGGGGAAGAAGACATGGGAAGGTCCTAAGATACGACTTTGTCCAGATTTTGATGGGACAAAATAAGGACTTGAACAACCTTTTGAAGCAATAGCAGTGAGGGGACTGCCACCTATACAGTACCTTTGATATATAACTCAGAAGATGCTGAAACAGCTGGGAAAGGTGATTTAGTGCCTTCCCCAAGGCTGGTACAAGCTGCAAGATGGAGCAGCAAAGATGGCTTTTTTTTAGATCTGCTGGTGCGCTTTCTATGTGTTCATTTTCTACTTGGGGGCTGTGAGGGAAGGAGCTACTGGACTTGCTTCCCTCTGAACTTTCACTCTATTCCTGTATATTCCTTTTTCTTTCCTGATGTTGTAATTTACATTTTACATAGAGCCCCATCCCACACTCTTTGACAATATAGTAAAAAAAAAAATAAAAAACAACCAACCAACCCCAAACAAAAGAATAAACCCAAAAACAAAACCCCAACAAACCCAACCAAATTTAAAGTAAAAACATGCCATTTGAGCAGGGAGCCTGGTGGCATTCAAACTTCTGCAGACCTATTTTTGAGATGTGAAAAATTTAAATAAATGCTGAGTCTTAGGTGAGTGAGGAGCATAACGGATGTAAACATTTACATGGGATGCATTAGACTTCTGCTGTGTGTATTGTCTTTTGGTTGAAACAAATTATGAAGTGACTAATAAAATGAGTCAATATTCAATGATTTAAAACGGTGCCTTGTTGCTTTTTGCAAGTACGGTGGGATAGGTCTTACTGGTTTGTAAGGTTTTGCCATAACAAAGTCAGATGAGGTCAAATAATAAGGGTAGAGTTTGAAAAACTTGCCAGGGAATCTTGGAGAGCAAAATGAGCAGACAATTATAAAATATTTTAACAGTTCAGGTGAAATACAGCCCTAAAAGAGAGGTTGTCAGCTACTAGCAGCAATACTTGTCCAGGTGCTGGAGAGGTGTGATGAGATCTTAACACAAGGAATTTTATTTCCTGGTCTTTGCAGCCTGCCCTGGGAGTTGGTTATGATTCCTTTGCCGATTTAAAAAAAAAAAAAAAAAAAGGCGCCCCTTTTCATACCCCATGTGCCTCTGGGACGAGGATTGTTGTCATCTCATTGTCCAATACAGCAGCACACGTGCCTCCTGCTGTAAGGCTCTTCCTTGCATTTTATAGCCAGAGTGACATTCTATTAGTTAACTTTTCATGTGTTTCCTAACACGTAATTGCACTTCTCTCTGCAATGTACAATCCCCTCAGTATTGCCACGTGTCCTTCCTTTATGGAAATTCTCCTGAGGCAAAGTAGTTACTGAGCTACAAAGCTGTAGCTAGAAATGCGTTGTGGTCGTGCCATTCTGTGGGGAAAACTTAATGGAAATTTGATTATTTTTTTTTTAAGTCTTCTCATCTTGCCTGTACATTCTGGAAGTGTTAAGAACTAGGTGGCCTTTCCTGTGACGTGAATTAATGCAAAGTGCTGGGAAGCACTTTCAGCCTTTCTGGAGAGATGGGTTGTCTGTCAGTTCCTTGCTTTTTTAAATTGGAGAGCCCTCCAGATACCGCAGAATTGGGAAATGGCATTGGAAACTGCTGGTTTGTGTGGGTCAGTCGCCTTGGGCCCTGGCTCTGGAGCGGGACAGGCCGGTGGGAAGGTTTTCCTCAGGGTTCCTGCTGTGTGTGGGCAGTGCTGGGTGGGCAGTGCTGGGCACAGCACGTGTGCCCGGAGCAGATCCGCAATCTGCACAGCAAAACGCCCCGGCAGAGTGGGAAGAAGGTGGGAAATGTTTGAAGGAAACACGTAGTAGAACTGAAAGTGTTTGGTGCAGTGATAACACTGATGGTGAGGATTAGTAAAGCTTGTCTGGACTTAATTCTGAAATAGTACTGGGAATTAGAGTAGCAATATGGGTAGCGGCTTAAAGCGTGTTAAAGTTTGGAACTGTTGGAGATCATGGGGAAGGTGTGAGGCTTTGCTGTCATTTTAACGTGCATGATCCTGTAAGTAGCCACCTGAAAGCATGAATCAAATTCTGGTAAACTGCACAGCGATGACCATGGCTACGGGCAGCCCTAGAGGCTTAAACACTTCCAGGGATGGGGCATCCACAGCTTCCCTGGGCAACCTCTTCCAGTGCCTCACCACCCTCACAGTAAAGAATTTCTTTCTGGTATCTAATCTAAATCTCCCCTCTTCCAATTTAAAACCATTACCCCTTGTCCTGTCACTACACTCCCTGACAAGGAGTGCCTCCTCAGCTCTCCTGTAGCTCCCTTCAGGTACTGGAAGGGGGTATAATGTCTCCCCGGAGCCTTCTCCAGACTGAACAACCCCAACTCTCTCAGCCTGTTCTCAAAGGAGAGATGCTCCAGCCCTCTGAGCATTTTCTGTTGCTGCGAGGCAATGGGTGGCACGCGTTCTCCGTTCTGTGCGTGGCGGGCACCAGTAGCAGTTAGCTGGTTGTTACTGGGCGTTTGGCTTGGAACCCCTTTCTCTTAAAGCATGTGTAGAAGGAGGTGCAGTACCCTTCCTTAATACTTTTTCTTTGCTGAGCTAAAAGAAGAATGATGAAAACTGTCCGTGTCCACTGTATTGTGATTTAATACGTACTGGTGTGTAATAGGAGTTTGTTGTGAAATGCTATAATATGCACTTCCTAAAGTCTCTGAATTTTGTATCTTTTATTGTTAACACGCTTCGCACCAAACTGCATTATTAGTATAATGTGTGTTTTTATCCCGTGGGTTATTATCCAGAGAGATACCTAGCACTGAGCACTCTCCTCCTTCCCTTGCCTTTCCCAAAGAAGCTCTCGTAGCCACCGTTGCCGCTTGTCGGTGGAGTCTGCGGTCAGAGCCAGACAAATGACAGCTTGGAGAGGCTGCAGCAGCCGTAGCCCTAGGAGGGCACGAGGAGGTAACAATATACAATTTTCATGGTTCAAGGGTAGCCTTATCCTACTGTTCTTCATTACAGTACTGCAGCGAGATCAATTTTATTAAGTTGTAAGTCTTAGGAGGCCAACACCATTAACTACGTGCTGGATCAAATAATTTTTTTTTGGTATTATGATTGTTTTTCCCCTTCGTTGGGGGAAGGCAAGATCTGATGCACGGATCTCTTCAAAAAAAAAAAAAAAAAAAAGGCGCCCCTTTTCATACCCCATGTGCCTCTGGGACGAGGATTGTTGTCATCTCATTGTCCAATACAGCAGCACACGTGCCTCCTGCTGTAAGGCTCTTCCTTGCAGTTTATAGCCAGAGTGACATTCTATTAGTTAACTTTTCATGTGTTTCCTAACACGTAATTGCACTTCTCTCTGCAATGTACAATCCCCTCAGTATTGCCACGTGTCCTTCCTTTATGGAAATTCTCCTGAGGCAAAGTAGTTACTGAGCTACAAAGCTGTAGCTAGAAATGCGTTGTGGTCGTGCCATTCTGTGGGGAAAACTTAATGGAAATTTGATTATTTTTTTTTTAAGTCTTCTCATCTTGCCTGTACAGTCTGGAAGTGTTAAGAACTAGGTGGCCTTTCCTGTGACGTGAATTAATGCAAAGTGCTGGGAAGCACTTTCAGCCTTTCTGGAGAGATGGGTTGTCTGTCAGTTCCTTGCTTTTTTAAATTTGAGAGCCCTCCAGATACCGCAGAATTGGGAAATGGCATTGGAAACTGCTGGTTTGTGTGGGTCAGTCGCCTTGGGCCCTGGCTCTGGAGCGGGACAGGCCGGTGGGAAGGTTTTCCTCAGGGTTCCTGCTGTGTGTGGGCAGTGCTGGGTGGGCAGTGCTGGGCACAGCACGTGTGCCCGGAGCAGATCCGCAATCTGCACAGCAAAACGCCCCGGCAGAGTGGGAAGAAGGTGGGAAATGTTTGAAGGAAACACGTAGTAGAATTGAAAGTGTTTGGTGCAGTGATAACACTGATGGTGAGGATTAGTAAAGCTTGTCTGGACTTAATTCTGAAATAGTACTGGGAATTAGAGTAGCAATATGGGTAGCGGCTTAAAGCGTGTTAAAGTTTGGAACTGTTGGAGATCATGGGGAAGGTGTGAGGCTTTGCTGTCATTTTAACGTGCATGATCCTGTAAGTAGCCACCTGAAAGCATGAATCAAATTCTGGTAAACTGCACAGCGATGACCATGGCTACGGGCAGCCCCAGAGGCTTAAACACTTCCAGGGATGGGGCATCCACAGCTTCCCTGGGCAACCTCTTCCAGTGCCTCACCACCCTCACAGTAAAGAATTTCTTTCTGGTATCTAATCTAAATCTCCCCTCTTCCAATTTAAAACCATTACCCCTTGTCCTGTCACTACACTCCCTGACAAGGAGTGCCTCCTCAGCTCTCCTGTAGCTCCCTTCAGGTACTGGAAGGGGGTATAATGTCTCCCCGGAGCCTTCTCTTCTCCAGGCTGAACAACCAGAGCTCCCTCAGCCTGTCCTCACAGCAGAGGTGCTCCAGCCTCTGATCATCTCTGTGTCCCTCCTCTGGACCCCTTCCAACAGGTCCGTGTCCTGGACATCCCTGAAGGGGATGCCCGGTTCTCTGCCGTCGGCAGCAGCCGCTCGGGAGGTAAGTGAAGGAAACGGTGTGATGGATGGATGGTTCCGGAGCGCGGGGCTGAGCTTGTGCCTCTCCACCCAGCGGGGAAAGCCGCCCCGCTCACCGCACGTTGAGGCCGAGCCCCCGGCGGCGCCGGAGCCGGGCGGTCCCCGGGGCGGCGGAAGCCCGAGTGCTTCCGGGGCGGGGCCTGCGCGGAGGCGGGGCTGCCGCCGC